CTGATGCATCATCCTCCATTTTCATGGAAGATGACGAGGTAGTGCATAGTTGATACCCTTGGTTTTCTATCAGCACACTTGATGACATTGACTAATCATAACACACATCTGACTTTTATTTTGATGGTATAGGCAGAGGTGAATCAAAAAATAAAGAAGGCATTCTGCCCACCCAAGGTGGTAGAGAAAAATCCTTGTCTTGAGTACCTCAATTACATAATATTTCCCTGGTTTAATGAGTTTACGGTGGAGCGAAGTCAAGAGAATGGTGGAAACAAGTAAGACATGGTTTTTTCTTTCTACCAACTGTATTTTAGGTTTTAACATGATTTTTATTACTCGTAATATTTTCATGCTTGCTGTTAATGTTCGAACTTTATGATGAGAAGTGTGATCATCACCCATTTTGCTCCACATTAAATGCGTAATTGTGTGCATAGGACTTTCATTAGCTTTGAGGAGCTTGTTGCTGACTATGAATGTGGTGGATTGCACCCTGCTGACCTTAAACCTGCTCTATCGAAAGCACTGAACAAGATCCTACAGGTATTGCTCAATTCTTTTTTCCTCATACGGTTTCTAAACATTTTCAGTCCCTTTTGAAATGTTGGATGCGCAGTAGGAGGATATAATCTAAGTTGGGTGCCTTTTAAGAATTAGTAGTTTTTTTTACTATGAACTTTAGGTCTTGGGCTTTACTATGCCTATAGAGGAACATATGGATTAAGGACCCCTAGACTCACTTGTGGGACTTCATTGGATAGGTTGTTTTTTCTAACTCATCTTCCATGTGCTATCTCTATCAGCCTGTACGTGACCATTTCAAGAACGATGCCAATGCAAAGGACCTTCTTAAGAGGGTAAAGGTATGCATCCTCAACTCACTGGGTCAAGTCTTTTATTCTAACTTCAGGAATGGTTGAAATCTTTGCTAAGTAATTTCCTTCTTTTCTTTTTCAGAGTTACAAGGTTACCAGGTAATGCGAATTGGGAAGAAAACATGTTCTTGAACCTTAAACGTAGAGTTGGAAACTGAATATTTGTTTTTGGATTATTTGTTCTTTTGATTTTCATTTATTTTGGATGGCCCTTAGTATACAAGTTAAGCTTTACAAATTAGACCTATTTATGAACAACTATCTTTCGACTAGACATTAAATGTTAACTATGAGTACCTTAAATCTTTTGTAGCATGAACAATGTGTTTGGTGCGGGTGGGATGCCAAACTGTTCCCAAAATTTCCTAAAAAGCCTACAAAATGAATTGAAACAAAGATTGTTTTTAGTCTTAGAGCATCTACAATGGAAAGTGTAAAAATAGGCAGGCTATATTTAGTTTTACACTATTAATAGTGTTTTACACATCCACTTTTTTATATTCACTCTAACCATATCTTCTACTATATAATACACTTTTATTTTATTTTAATATTTTAAGTTACTTAATTATGATAATATATATAGTTTAAAAAATTCTGATGACACATATGGTTTAAACTATGGTTATAGAGTATTAAGAAACAAGAAATAAAAAAAATTAGTAAAAAAAGTAAAAAAAAGCGTACTACACCATTTTAGTAAGAAAATTATTTATAAAAGTAATTGAAAGAGTAATAATAATTTACTAATAGTTAGATATTTTAAATAAATTATACTCACTCTAGGGTACAGAATAGTGATGATAAATGATACTCCCTCCGTTCATGAGTGTTTGTCCACTTTCATTTTTACACACCATCCAATGCACTTCTTTAATCCATTTTATCTTGTAATTTGTATATTAAAAAATTATAAAAATTATATATTAATAATCTATATGTTAAGAAGAATCAAACAAGATCACACATGACTATTTTTAGACTTACACATTGAGAGAATTTGATGAGTCAAAGTGCTTAGATGAACAGTTTCAAAAGTCAAAAATGGACAAACACTCAGGGACGGACCAAGTATTTGGGATGGGGGAGTAATAACAACAAAATTTTTTTCCAAAAGTGAAAAATATAACATTTTTTGGGATACAAAGTGTAAGAGAAAGAAAATATGGAGTATGACTGAACAAATAATGTATACGCTATTAAATTAGCCATCTTCATCATCGATATACTCCGTATCATTGAATTGAAGAGCAAACAAAAACTAATCAAGTACCCTTTCAGCGTTTTAATAGTGCTTAATATTGAAAATTGGAAAAACAGTACGGAGTTAGCATATATTGGAAGGTGTAAGAAAATGTTGGCGATTAACTATTTGTATTGGTTGTTTGAATGACTGATCGAATTAGCTATTTTGATCGGCAAATTGTATGAGCTGTTAAAGAAAGATTGTTTGGTAAACTTAACAATTCATAAATAGTTGTTTGTAGCAAAAATACCTTAATTAATGTTTTATTTTAGAAAAATCCCCAAATAAAGCACGACCTTTGGATAACTTATCATTTCTAACACAACTTTTGTTTTTTGTCAATTCAATACCCCAACTTTACTTTTTTGTCAAATGATACGTCATCAATATTAGGTGTTAGAGAAAATGGAATGTTCAAGCAAATTTTAACCGAAAAATACTCCACATATATGGGCAAGAGAGTCAAAAAAAAAAAAAAAAAATAAAATAAAATTGGGTGGTGGAGAAAGTGGTGGGGGACAAATGATGTTGCCAAAACATTGTAAAAATGATTGAAACTTTGTGAATATGGCTCAATAGAAATATAACACTTCATAGCATGTCAAGCTTTTCTCTTCCTACCCACCGGAATGTGGCCATCCCATTTACCCTCTTAGTTTGTCAAAAAATACATCCAAGTCAAGGTGTGATGTGGTCCGTAAAGGATGGAAGTTCATAAACCACTCTATAGTAGCCTCAAACCTGTCAGGAGAAAGAATGCTCTGTACTGCCTGCAACCAAAACAATGACAATTTATTATCTTGAATTCTTAATAAAATTTGACCAGTAATATGTATATACTTGCAGATCACCAATGTAACCATCCATCTCTGTGTGGGTGATTTTCTTCTTGATTGTAACTTCACCCCAAAGGGAGATTCTTGGCCTAGCTGGGATGTTTGTTGTCTTCTTATTGTAATCTTGCTTGCAATTCTCAAGCAACTCTCAAAGAAAAGGATCTTTTCATATTCAAAGTTTCAATGAGATCACATTAAATTAGCAAAACAATTATTAAAATTGAAAAGTTCATTATCCCACTAGAAAGCAAGAAACCAGAGTAATACGGAGTACATTGTTGATGAGGTCCCACTTCCTATTGATTTGACCTTAGCCGCTAGATCCTTCAGTGACACTAAGGACTCCATAAATACCTAGGTTCCCCATTAGAAATCTTTAGCGGCTTTCCACTATCCACTCATGTCCAGTATATAATATGGTATAACGGACTTGTAGCGATCAGCAGGACCTAACAGAATAAGAACAATAAATAAAAGTGTGGAATGCCAGAGAGTGGCTTTCATTCTTTTCACTTCCAAGTCTTTACACATGTTCTAGAAATACTGCACAACCATCTGATATGTAACTTTAGCAGGTTTCTTTCTTTTCCTTGCCAGAGGAAAGTGTGTTCGAATAAAATCATTCTTGGCTAAGGTCAAATCATTTGATGATTCAAACCCGGCGTTCATCCGAGAGCAGTAGGGGTGGACACGGTAAAGTTCCGGGGAACCACCGGTTCCGGAACCACCACCCCTTGGTACCGGTACCGGACCGGCCGGTACCAGTTCCGGTATTGGACCGGCCGGTTTCGGCCACCCCCAATTTTTTTTTTTGATTTTTTATTAAATTTTTAAAGTGTAAAATTGTAAATGTGCAATTGTTAAAGGAAAGAATGAAATAAAAAAAAATAATAATAACGGTATCGGAACCGGAACCAGTACCGCCGGTGCCGGTACCGAAAAATGGGTACCGAAACCGGTGGAACGTCCCGGCCGACGGTGACGGTGGCGGGTACCGGCAGTACCGTTGCCGGTCACGGTACCGGACCGGTACCGTGTCCACCCCTAGAGAGCAGTTTAGGCCACTAATAAGGGAAAATTTCATCAACGAGTACCTGACAAGAACTCCTTTAACAACAAATCACATCTCTCATTGCCTCTTTATTTTGGCTTCCTTTGCAATAAGTTCCCATAAAAAAGGGAGAGGAATACGCTTAACATCCAAAAAATATGTAAGGGGTATTCTCCCTAAACAAAGTAAGGACTTCTAGACGATCTCGCAGTCTATCACTCATCAGATTCTAGAACTCTCCCAAAGAAGATTTCAAAGTTAACTTCATTCCACATAATTTCCCAATTTCAATAGTGCATTTCAATGCTGGAATCTTAAAAAAATTATCAAAACAAATTCGTATGCATTTCAACTATTACCGGTTTTTGTAGCAATACATTGATAGTTTTCATGGTCGCATGACTTCTTGTGCTTTTGAATTAATCACTCTCAAGCAAAAGAAACTTAAAATATTATATTTTAGTGTACATGCAATCTATCTTGATTTTGGTGATAGTTCTTCTTCTCTTGTACTAGACCGTGTCATTTGCACCGATATTCTCCATGGTAAACAAAAGTGTGGTAGTAATTGAAGGTATCCGACAATAAGATGCAGTATACCAAGGTTGACAATGACGGAATCAACCAAGGAGAACAAAGAGCACAACACTTTCGAGGAGGGGAGAAGGCGTATCGTCTCTGAAGATTGGTCGGTGGATTAAGGATCAGTTGGGCCTTCAAACGACGCCGTTTGGACTCTTCGAAAATTATCATCTTTCTTCGGCGGTAACTTAATGACAAGTTGTTAATTTTAATATTTACGTTAAATTTTTAAAGTAACAGTCACAAAGAGTAACGTTTTGTTGCTTGTTTAAAAGGACCTTTCTATCACTTGGCGCGAATGGAACCAACGCGCTTCACGTTCTTTGTTAGATCTAGGAAGACCTTCTCATAAATTCCCATTTTTTAAATGTGAAATTTGTATAAATCCCTTTTGCATAAATTCTTCTATCTATTCACCGAAATGTTATGATTCAACTCATATCAAACTCAATGTTAGCACAATTTGGAGAACTGCCGACATAGATCCGAATAATCCCGTGATCCATTCAAAGTTCAAACTCATCACATCGCATTTCTTTATTTTACCCGGTATGTCTTCGTTCTTTCTGTAAATTCATATATACTGCAACTGGAAAATGCGTTAAACTAAAGAAGAAGAAGAACAAGGAAGAAGAAAGAAAGAAGAAACGCTCAAAAAGTCCTAACTTTACACTCCATTGCCTCGAAAAAGGCGAAGAAGGCAGTGAAATCTCAGAGGGTTTTCTTTTTTAATCTCACGCTCTTCTCCATGCGACAATAGCAAGTGGATTCCGATGAGGCGACGGTCGTTTGAACTGCGAAACAGAGCAGCAAAGAGAAGATACTCCAAGCTGGGATGGTTGATACTTTGCGCCTTCTTGACCATTCTCCTCTTCGCTCTTTTTCGTCCCAAAAACCCTTCTCCTTCTACGCCTTCTTTGATTCAGGTACTCTCTGATCTCACTTTTTCTTCCTTTGAAAGTTTAAAAGCATCTAATTTTGGGCATTCATTTTCACATCACTATCTGAAATGCTGTGGATGCCTTTTTCTTTAAGCGTTAGTCGGATGATCTTTTGTAGACAAATGTGACCCATTCGCTCTATTGTAGTGTACATTTTGCATATAAATTCACATGCAGTCATTTAGTCCTCAGATTTGGATTCATCCTGGAACCCAATATCCAGAATGGCATCCTCTTAGATATTCAGACGCATGAAGATTTTCTGTTAAACTTTAATATTTTGAGGTTTTGTTTTATTCCTAGAGATGTCTACCCTTTATGGTCCTAAGACATTTGGAGGTCATAGTTCAATGAAAGGAATATAAGTTTGCAGACCTTTAACATCATTGTTAGAATCTCTCATTGAGATGAACTCGGGTAGTTTTTTAACCTTCTATTTCCATAACTAGTAATAAAAAATGCTTTTTTTACTCTCTTTTAATAACCATATGACATTTATGGATTTTCTTACACTCTGTTTGGTTCAAAGAATTTGGAAGGAAAAGGAAAAAATGGTTTTCCGACTTTTCCCTCTTTTTCCTCACCAAAACAGGAGGAATTTGGTTTCCCTTCTTCTAAGTACATTTTGCTTTCTCATTTTGTTTTCCTTCCACTTTTCTTTTCTTTTCCTCTCTAACCAAACAAGAATAATGTTTTCCTTCTCATTTTCTTTTCCTTTCCCTCTCAAATTCCTTAAACCAAACATAGTGTTATAGTCTGTTCAGGATTAGGTTTGTTGTTTTCAACAAGCTATTCAACGGTTGCCTTTAGTTGTAGCACTTTAAAAGTTAATCCCCATCATTATAAAATTTTAATTGTGAAGAGACGTGTAAGGGTAATTTATAGCCTGTGTACAAACTTTAATTGGAAGAAATAGAGGTAGTATATGAATGGGTAAGTAGATCAGACTTTGACACTGAATTAGGATTATAATTGCCCATGGGAGACTCTGATTTAAAAAAAAAAATTCTAATGTAATTAACCAACAATTGAATATCACCTTAATTAACAGTTGAAGAAACATAAAAAAATTATTTTCAAAATCAAGTATTAAGCATTGTTTCTTGATTACTTTTTTCTTTTTATCCTGAATATCACATTGAATGCTTTCTATAATCAATTACGGATTAAATATCTAAAACTCGATTTGCAGTAATGGTTTACAAGAATAAGCATTCGAATTTTCTAAGCTCGATACATTTAGAATGCTGCTTTTCTTTAATCATTTAAAGCTTATAAAGCAATGTAGGTATACTGCAGGTCTACAAAAGTTTAATCGCTTTGAAATTGTAGTTGCATTTCTTTCTTCTGATAATTCATTCATCTATATATTATGAAATAGATTGACAAAATGTGTCAACTAAATATAATTCTAAGACTGTGTGGATGTAACATTATGAGATTGAGTTGAATAAATTTAATACTGATGACCTTCTTATGCAACTTAACTGTTCAGGGGTATAATAGGCAAAATAAAATTTTTGAAGGTCTGAATGTGACTGAAGAAATGTTGAGCCCTTACTCGATTACAAGGCAAATCAATGACCAAATATCTCTTGCCAAAGCGCTGGTTATAATTGCAAAAGAAAGCAACAATCTTCAGCTTGCATGGGAGATAAGTGCCAAGATCCGGAAGTCACAAGTTCTTCTATCAAGTTCAGCCACTAGGAAAAGTCCCTTAACAATGAAAGAGTCCGAAACCGTGATTCGTGATATGGCACTCTTGCTTTGTCAAGCCCAACAACTTCACTATGATAGTGCAACAATGATCATGAGGTTGAAAGCCAAGATCCAGTCCCTCGAAGAACAAGTGCATTCCGTGACTGAGAAGAGCTCTAAATATGGGCAGATAGCTGCTGAGGAAGTTCCAAAGAGCCTTTACTGCCTGGGCATACGGTTAACCGTTGATTGGTTCAGAGACTCAAAGTTACAGCATGAGCAAATGAGGAAGAAGAGTCTGGCTGCTGGAATACTTGACGATACTAACCTTTATCATTTTTGTGTGTTTTCTGACAACATACTAGCAACTTCTGTAGTGGTAAACTCTACGGCCTCAAATGCAAAGAATCCCAGTTTGGTCGTCTTCCATATTGTGACTGATGAAGTAAATTATGCCCCCATGAATGCTTGGTTTTCTATGAATTCATTCCATGGTGTTACAGTAGATGTTGCGAAATTTGAAGACTTCAGCTGGCTAAATTCCTCTTATGTTCCTGTTCTCAAACAACTGCAGGACTCAGACACCCAAAGTTATTACTTCTTGGGGAGTCGTGGTAAGGACAAGACCACCCCTATCAAATTTCGCAACCCAAAGTATCTTTCCATGCTTAACCACCTCAGGTTCTACATTCCGGAAGTTTTTCCGAAACTAGAGAAGGTAGTGTTCCTTGATGACGATGTTGTGGTTCAAAAGGATCTTTCTCCCTTGTTCTCCATTGATTTGAAGGAGAATGTGAATGGGGCCGTTGAGACTTGCATGGAGACATTCCACAGATACCATAAATACTTGAATTATTCCCACCCGTTGATACGGCAACATTTTGATCCGGATGCTTGTGGATGGGCGTTTGGGATGAATGTTTTTGATCTGGTTCAGTGGAGAAAGAAGGATGTGACCGGAATATATCACTACTGGCAAGAGAAGAACATTGACCGGACACTGTGGAAGCTCGGGACCTTGCCACCCGGGCTTTTGACTTTCTACGGGTTAACTCAAGCTTTGGATCCCAATTGGCACATTTTGGGACTGGGGTATACAAATGTGGATGCGACAATGCTAGAGAATGGTGCGGTGCTGCATTTCAATGGGAACTCTAAACCATGGTTGAAGATCGGGATGGAGAAATACAAACCGTTGTGGGATAGGTATGTTGATTATTCACATCCAATATTGCAGCAATGCAATGTGCATTGAATTATCAGGGTATATGCCGTTGGTGGTGTACATTCATTCGTATCAGGTTATTTCACTTGATCATTAGCCCTAGTTTAGTACTGGAGACAGCTACGGATTTTGTCCTTTTTGGGTTTTCTAGACATTGATCAAATGCGGCAGACGGCCATAGTTGGTTGGACACACTTGTCATTTATTGTTTGTTTTCTTGTACCTTAGGAGTATCCAAAAATCATTCAATGTTTTTCCCAGATAGATTCATGAGTATAAGTATTCCATTCTGAAATTATGTAGTGCAGCAGATGCCTATTTATTGTCATCTTTGTTAGATTTCTAACACCTCTCTGGTTCATAGTATTATTTTGTTCTCGTAGTCCTATTTTACTAAGCTAAATGTTTTGCTATGTGTTGCAACTATCGAAACATTTAGAATCAACGCTGTTCCATGACAGTGAGCGTGGATTGGTTTAAAACAAACTTTGAGCTTTGAAAAATCACTACACACATAAGCAGATGACTCGCAAGGTGTTACAACATCACGGAAAAATGTAGAATAAAAGGTGTAATGTAATGACATCGAGTATGTTTACGTAGATAGGATAAATTCTTCTGATTTGTGGAGCTCACGTTCGTGTAATAAATTTCCACTTAATCACTAGGTGCAGGTTATATCCATCATACACATATCTTCTTCAAATTGTTATGACAAAATGTTGAGTTATACTCATCTCACATTGGTCCGTCTTCACCAATATTATTGTGGTTATAATGGCCTGGGTGCCTTAACCCCTTGAGTTAATTTTTAGGTTGAATTTGGTCCAAGTCTATCATTTCACACAAAACCTCTAATCTAAGATTTTCAACATCTACCAATCTCGAGTTTTGAGGCTTAAATTTTTTGGTCAGGTTAAGACTTAAGATGAAGGAGATGAGTTTACCAATCTCTGCTAATCCCATTCGAAGCAATTTCATTTCTAGCCAGTGGAGATGACTCATGAAATTTAAATTAATAGCTTCCTCAATTAACAAGTTTTGTTTGGGTGGCTATTGGAATGCGCATTTCATTTACACTTTCTGGCAACACTGTTGTATGTATATTGAACACAAACTGTACATGATGAGGCCATGATTCTTAGTGGAAATAAAAGAAAAAAACATCCAATTATATCAGGAACCAGTAAATAGATATGGAGAAAATCACATTGACATGATTGTCTCCATAAGTGAGACAATCATACTGGTGTGGTTGTTTCATTTTTTTTTGGTTTCATTTGTTTCATTTATTTGTTATGCCATTTGATTCCTCCCAGTAAGTAAGATGAGTTATTCAAAGCTGAAAACACTTGTTCCCTTCCCCACCACGTCCTTTTTTGGCGTCGTTTTTCTTTTGGGTGTTGCTCAGACTTGCGCAGTTTCATCCTTGCCTCCCTCAATCGGTCTTTGAAATCTTCCTTCCATTCGCTAAAATGGGCTTTCAGTTTCTTAAGCTCCTCTGCTGCTTCAAGAGTTGCAGAACGTGTCTTTAGATGCCCAATTCTTGTGGTCTCACCCTCAAATCTTTGTTTCTGTTGTTCAAACTCCTTCACAAGTTGGCTCACAGCAAGAAAACCACCACCACCCTCTTGAACAGACTCGGCATCGGAGTCATCATAGTTCACGGATGCACTTCCTCCGGTTCCCACAGATAGGCTTCTTGTAGAACCATACGAGCGAGAAGACGCTGAACCAAGAGACTTAGCTAGAGCAAGCTTTGCCTATTTCATTCAAAACACAGCAGCAAATAAATGTTAGTTAACCTTTTATTTGAAACACAATTTTTATTTGTGTTAAGTTAATTAATTTCAGCAATATATGGACTCCAGGATATCTATAAGCTACTATCATTTTAATTATAACCCTAAATTTTCATTACACTTTTACTTAAGGACATAATCTCCCATCATCTCGGATGGAGCCAAAAGATTCACTGTTTTTTAGCTTTGGGGTATGATGGGATAAAGCAAAGTGGTTATTCAAACTGTCTGCATGCACTTCTTTTATGGTGAAGGAGCAGTCAGTCAATGCAGCTCTCAGACGCTCATCATGCGTCATCCGGAAACAGTCACTCTATACGTACATCCGACTCCCTATTACCCCGAAATACGTAGCATCTCACCTGCAAAGATGCCATTTGCTTTTGCCACATCTCCATTGAACTTGCTTTGGCTTCATATTCTGATAACCGATTCTCAATTTCTTTTAGTTGTTGCTTCAATGCTGCATTTTCTTTTTCCTTCTGCTCAAGGGCTGTCTCTGCTCTGTGAACACGTCTTTGAAGCTCTTCCAAAGTCGAAGGTAGAACTTCACAAGGCGAATCCTGTAATATATTGAAAAGGCTAAATTAGTTTTCTTGTTTCTCTTTAAGTTTAAATTTGTGAATCAGGTTAGAGAACTATATATTGTGATACAATGTCAATGGTAAGTTTGTAATATGAGGGGATAAAAAACTATATATTGTAGCTTTCTTCATGTGATGGGTACTATTAATAATTAAATTAAATAGATTTAAATATTGTATACACTAATGATATTTAAAACAATAACCATAACAAATATTATCTATTACTACATGTTTGTAGGATTTTTTTTAAAGTGAAGTATGTGGAGCTGAGGAACAAATTAAAGAATGGTCGATTTGGGAGATCCAGATAAAGCCCGGCAATAGTCATCTATAAAAAATGCATGATTACATAAATTAATTGTGCAAGGTTAGGGGTTTAATAAATTCGTTAATAGTTGGAATTATTAAATACTCCCCCTGAATTAGATTGTCGATATTCTTCCTTTCGTTTGATGGAATAAATCAAAATGGATCTCTAAACTGTCTGCGCTTCTTTAATTAATGAAGTAGCAGTTAGTCAAGTAATGCAACTTTCGATGTTGAGGCGGGGGTTTCTTTGGAAACAGCCTCTCTACTTTCGAGTAGGGGTAAGGTCTGCGTACACACACCCTCCCCAGACCCTACTCTTGTGGGATTTAACTGGGTTGTTGTTGTTGTTGTTCCTTTCGTTCAACTTTAATAAAGAAATTATGATAAATTGTCCAGAATATCAAGAGATGAGGTATGCATGTGAATGAATGACAAACTTTTTTGAATTTGATATTTTAAACTCATTTCTTAAAAATGAGAGTTTGAAAAGAACAACTAATTCAGGATGGAGGGAGTTGCACCACAAAAGACAACTAGCTTAAAATATTGCCACCAACTTTTTTGCTCGGTCGATTTCTGACACTGTCGAAGTTTACCCCATGGTTCAAATGACATAGAATTTCAATCTCATGTGATGGAATCGAGCCATTATAATGCTCCGTTAGGGGAGTGGGTGGCAAGGTGGTTTGGTAAGGGGAGTAGGACCCACTTTCGGCCTCAACAAAGCACTGTAGAGCTCTCATGTCATTCTATGACACTTGGTTCTAATGTCAACGGAACCGCGCTAGTAAATAAAATGCCCTGGACCAAAACTAGCTAGTGTTAAGTTGATGAGAGTACCTTCGTTGCTGAAATATTTCTTCCTCCATTTTGCTTGTTGGCAATTATAGTCTTTTTCCAATTCTGAAGGCTACAAAAATGCCTTCTGGATAAGTGCCCACGCATTGCTGCTTGAAAAAAAATGACAGGCCAGTTAAACACTACACTACAACTCCACACAGAAAAAGTTGTCATTGAAACTAAAAAGAACAATGCTAGAAACCCATCATGGGGTGTCCCCACGAGTGACAATCACAGATGTTTAATACATACACACACAATAATCGTGTCTATATGTATAAAATCATCTGTGATTGTCACCCGTGGGGGCAACCATGGTGGGTTCCTAGCATGGTCCAACTATAAATCACCTGATTGTATCTGTACTACAGCCACCAATCTCTCATCAAGTTTTTTGCAATCCTCTTCCTCTTTTGACTTCATCAAAACATCATACTGCCTTCTACCAATTTCACCACGAGCAACTGCAAGATTACAGAACAACACCTTCCATTGGTTCTATTTCCATACATAATTGCAAACTCAAATGCTCTATGTATAAAATCAGTTTTAATTAGTGGTAAATAAGTTGTAGAGATATCATAAGATAAGAAAACTGATACTATTTGAGACCGACCAGAAATTTGAAGCCGTTTCACTTACAAGATTGGAAGGTTATTACGCTCCTCTTGAGTTCACGGAAGTACCTACGAACACGATGACCACGAAAGCACTTTTGCACCTCAAGAGTACCTTGAATGACTTGTTTTCTCACTTCCTCCATTGCAGCAATCTTGAAATTTTATTTCAATATCATGAAGAAAAAAAACAATTAGATCAATTCATAAAAAACAATTCCTTTCTAATTTGTTTTTAGTACAGTGTAACATATCAACTCACCTGTCCTGCTCGAAGATATACTTTGGTATGACCTACTTGGAACATTTCTGGATGGATACGGAATTGTTGCAGGATAGCAACCGATGTACTTAAAGGATCTCTTGGCAGATTATGTGCCAAGAGGAGGACGGCATATCTGAAGGGTATGAAGGCACACTTACTCAAATGTAGTAACGGCTGAGAATTCAAAGTAAGGAAGAAAAAGAGTATACAACAGAAAATAGGCCAAGCACTCACCTTTCTGTAAAGTCTTGATGGGTCATCCTTGTTGGATAGCCAGCTCTTGAGATCCTCACGACTTCTAGAATCCCGCAACACTGAAGCTGCTTTAACACAAGATCTTTCTCAAACACCCCAGGAAGCTTCTGGTTGTTTGGCTTTATGCAGCGAATGAAATGTGGAGAAGTGTTTTCCAACTGCCGCATTAATTGGAACAACTGACCCTGCAAAACAAAGGCGAAACTTATCTAAAAATTTGCTAATGAACAAATACAAAAACCAGCTGCTATATCTCTCATACAATGTACACTCTACAACAGTACCCATTGAGGATTGAAAAAAGAAATCCAACTCTTTACTTTGAATTTCGTAGCAACACTTTGTCTCTGAACATCTGGCACTGCAAACTTGGTGGGCAAACTTGATTTCTGGAATTGGTTTAGCACTCTACAGGTAAACAACTGAAGTAGTTCAGATTGGCATGAGGAGAGTAGCTGAATAATATCTGTATGCAGAAGATCTCTGTTCTTTTCCAGGAAACCACTGGTGCTATAGAGAACCTGAAGAAAACACAGGAAACATTAGAATTCTCCTGAAATCCTTAAATTAAACCTCCGATGTTTTCATTGTTTAAACATCGTAACCAGCTATTCCATATCAGATTACTCAATTTTTTCTGCTGTGTGGAACTTGTATATGTAGATTTTTGGAATTCCTACATTAGTGAAATGCATATTTTTTATAATATTTCCAGTGCCAAAGATAGTCTTACAATATACATGAAAATAACTGCAATAGTGAACTAATGCCCAAATAATTAAATGGAGAAGTTATAGATGAAGTGAAACTATCAATAGCACAACTTTTATTAGTAGACTGCAGAAGTTGAAAACACAACCAAGTGGAGGCTTCCTACAGCACGTTTTATATACATTCTAAATATAACAAGAATTAGAAAAATCTAACCTCGCCAGCATAGTGCTTAATACTGAAAACTGATCCTCTTTCACCTTTTAAGCACGAATTTGTTTTCAAGTGCTCTTTAACTTTATTGGCAAATGTCAAATCCGTCGCTTTAGGGAAATTCGACTCTTCATCGAGCAAAGCAATTAGCCCAATTGGTCTCTACAAGAAGCCCAAATAAACCTCAACTTAGCATATTTTTTCCAAATCATTAGCTAAATGAACTGATACAGTGATACCCCCATGTCCCCTTCCTGAAATACACTGACAGTTAAGAAAGTAACAATTTCTAAATATATGTTTGCCATGTAGAACATAAAGAACAGATGAACTTTATTTGAAAGGTTCCAAAACTGCAAACTCAAAGGTTATGGGCATATAGTTGAGGTTTATTAGTTGAAAGCAAATTCTCCCTCCGTGCAACTATTTTTGGGCCACGAGAGAGTAACACGGAATTATGAAAAATAAAATTTTGTGATTGATAAAGTAAGATAAGGTAAGAATGATTATGAACTACACAAATATCACCCAATATGTTATGAGACAAAATTAGTGTAATGGACAAATAAGGTAAAACAACAATAACCCTGTCGAATCCCGCGGTCTAGGGAGGGTGTGTACATAGACTTTACCCCTACTCGAAAGTACAGAAGTTGTTTCAAAAACAGACCCCCCGAGAAAGCGTGGAATGCACAGAATGCAAAGAGCACGACAAAATAAGCACCTGGCAAGTAAAAGGAAAGGAAAGAAAAACATGGATAAATGAAAAACACCACACAGAGAAGCACACAATAACAAGTTGTTTCCCTCTCCTTTCCCTTAACTTGTTATGTGCTTCTTTTGATGTGCTTTGTGCTTTCTATGCTTTTTGCACAGTTTGTGTTTCTCGAGCTAGGGTCTGCCTCTTGGAAAAAACTTCTCTACTTTCGAGTTGTTATTTTAAATCAGCAGGTAATATTATCTAGAGATCCAGTGTAAATTTTAAATAGATAATCAATAAAAAAGGCAACTGAATACAAGTAATACCTGTTCAATGAGATCCAAACAATCTTGGTTGTCTTCAAATTGAACCTTTCTCCAGTCAATTCCATCCAACTCATATCCCTAAAATAAAAATAGTGTTGGTGTCATGTGTCCCCATGGTGCATGTTTTTCGCGGATGATATTGTGCTTATCGACGACACGCGTGAGGGACTAAACGATAAGTTGGAATTATGGCCCCTTGCCCTTGAGACTAAAGGATTTAGAATAAGTAGGAACAAGACTGAATACATGGAATGTCATTTCAGCGGCCGGGATACAGAACCAGAGGTGGAAGTCAGGATTGACTCTCACCTAGTACCTAAGGTAGACAGGTTTCGATATCTTGGCTCGGTAATCCAGGCGGATGGGGAGTTAGATGCGGATGTTGGACATCGGGTTGGAGTGGATTGGGCCAAATGGCGGTTAGCTTCAGGGGTGTTGTGTGATCCGAAGATTTCGCCTAGAATGAAAGGTAAGTTCTATCGATCCGTAGTCAGACCTGCTATGTTATATGGGGCAGAGTGTTGGGCGGTTAAGGAGACTCATGTGCGTCGTCTGCATGCGGCGGAGATGCGGATGTTACGATGGATGTGTGGGAAGACAATGTTGGATAGGATTTCGAACGAAGTTATCCGACGTCAGGTAGGCATGGCACCGGTGGAAGACAAGTTGTGGGAAGCAAGGTTAAGATGGTTTGGCCATGTGAGACGGCGGGATGCTGACGCCCCTGTACGGAGATGCGAGAGGATTACGGTTATCGGGGGAAGTAGGGGAAGGGGTAGACCTAGGAAGAATTGGAAGGAGGTGATTAGGCAGGATTTAGGACTTCTCGACCTGAGGATATGGCCCTAGATAGGAACCTTTGGAAAACTAGGATTAGAGTAGCTGGATAGGAGCTCTGTGTTGTAGAGGTTGTTTTGTAGTGTTTTGTATTTGTTTGGAATCTTCTGCTATTGCTTGTACTTGTTGCTTGTACTTGGTGCTTTATCTGTGCTATACTGTGTTCCCTTCCATATTTTTGTGCAGGTGGAGCCGGGGGTCTCTTGGAAACAGCCTCCCTACTTCAGAGTAGGGGCAAGGTCTGCGTACACACCCCCTCCCCAGACCCTACTGTTGTGGGATTCAACTGGGTTGTTGTTGTTGTATATATATATATATATATATATATATATATATATATATATGCATGTATATGTGTGTGGGTGTGTGATGATATGCAACACCTGTATAATGTTGCTACAGCCTTAAGTGTCTCACCTAGGTGTCCAATTGAGTAGTATAAAAGATATTTCTGTGTGTAACTTAGGAGCACCCAATATTATTAGCCATGAAAAATATTCTCATTCAATATAAATATTCCATCCCAGAACACCAGATATTTAGGTTTTCTATCAGGAATTTCATATATTTCCTAAAGATTGTTTGGAATCTTATTCCAGAATTTTGTTGCATTCATATTTTATGGTTGATTACTAGAATTCGTTTCTCTTGTGAGATTCCCTCATCTTCCCAAACAATAAAAATATTGTGGATGACAATGAGACTCAAAATAGCTCTCATATCATCAAAGCCCAAACCATCACGTTAAGAGTAATTTTGCTGCAAGGATGGCTACCTAGCATTTAAGCCAATTATACATTAAACAGAACAATCAATCATTTACTTCGTAACGACCCTCAAATGAGTCAAGAAAAATCAACTATGTGATGCATGGAAATATGAAATAAAGAAATGGCTTTGGAACTCCATGCCAATAGAAATTAGTGATACCTGCATGCTACTTAAGTCTTAACATATCCCAAGAAATTTTGGGGGGTCGATTTGGGGGGACTATGCTATAGAACATAAATATAAAATGTTCATGACGCTACAAAGATCTATGAGATCAAGAATACAATTGTTGCTACAGAACTATTCTCAAGTTGATCAGTTATGAATATTGTAACCACTTGCTAAATCTTTCACAAGACATGAATCATTGTCATAACTGTATGTAATCGACATTCAAGTAAACAAATGAGCACATTTGAAAGACTAAATTACAGAGCTACAACATTCAAATTTAGAAACGTTTCTATATTCCTTTAAGGATTAACAAACTCTGGCTGTTGGAGGATGCATAGAGTTCTCAAGGAAGAGCGAAGGAAGCAAACCACATAACAGTTTGGTGATCAGATCCCGCAAAAGAGTGTTGGAAGTGTGATGTCAGAAGTAACTGACGTGCTTAGTGATAAAATCCAGTGGAGGACTTGAATAGTTGAAAGTGGTGCCATTATATTGTGGATTTGCAACCACATAAAAGAATTATCCCCACATATAAAAGTGGAATACAATCTATTAAAATTATTCTTGATTATCAAGCAAGCAAAGGGAGTAAAACTTAGTACACTTTTACATAGTCAAACTCAATGTACATTATGTGTTAACGGGCAGAATATTATAAAATATTTAACTTAGTTGTTGACTTGTTCACTCAACTTATGTCTGATCAAGTATCTTAATAAAAGTATTTCTAATATCAAGAAATGTAATGAGTTATTTGTTGACTCACCACTCCCTATAAACTTTCATGCATCATATTGGGGACCACCATGGAGCAGTGAGGTCTTGACCATGCTTAAAAATTTAAAAGGTTGATGAATAAAAGAGAATGTATTAATTTTAGGTACCACTAACATGCAGTTTTTGTCAAGGAATTTCAGTGTCTTGATAATAAAATCACAATAAATCTTGTCAAAGAATGAAGAATTTCGGTAGAGAATGCACTAGTTGAAAGCTTGGGATTTGTGTAATTAAAATTAGGGGCACGTATCATTTTGGGAATGAAATGTATTTTTCAAAATTTCTTCCATTATATGAATGAAAAAGCTACAATTGTTCCTTAAGTCAGTCTCCAAGTCTTTTAAGGAGGACCCAACACTCAGACTACAGCTCGGCATTGTAAAATCAGGTAAGGACTAGGGTACTTAGCATAAGTTCAACCAGCAGCTTATGTTCTTTCCAGGGACACAAATAAAGTGAAAATGAGGAGAAAAACGAATTAGCACAGAAAAAGTATGTTTACCTCTTGCTCAAGTTTAAGTAGATGACGATTGAAATGTTGCTGAAGCCTCTCATTTGCATAGTTTATGCAGAACTGTTCAAACCCATTACTCTGTGGACAAATATGAAGCCAATAACAGAACTGTGAGTTGATAACCATTAGAGCATAAAGACAAAGAAAACAATTTTACATATTTACCTTAAATGATTCAAAACCGTATATGTCTAAAATATTTATGGATCTACAAGTATGCTGCTTTCCCATAGCAAGTGATGTATTTATCCTATCTACAACCCATCCAAACAAGCTCCCATATATGAATTTAGCCAATGCATCTCTCGTATCAATTGCCTAAAATAAGTTTACAAGCAATGTACGTGTTATATGTTGATTAGCAGCCTATAAGACTAGTAACGCTGACATCAGAGCAGAAATAGATAATCTCATAACATCCATTCAATGCAATTTTCCAAGAAACATTCTATATATTTAATTCTGCAAGTGTAAGCCGATAAAAACTTCACATACCTGCTGGATTGAAAATCTCTTGGAAACCTCATCCTCGCCAGCATGTATTCTATGCATTGATAAAGCTAGCATGAGATCATGGGCACTGCAACCCATCAAGCTAGCAGCATTAGTAACAGCTGCAAATAGATGGAATATATTAGCTTTGACACCTTCAAGTAGGCATCCAGACCATGAACAAGATAAGCACTGGGTATATCTTAACTCAAAGGGTATAATATGTCCTTCTCTCATCTTATAAAGTATAAAATCCTACTCCCTATTTAATTTCCTTTTTCCATTGGAATAGAAAGATGATTAGTATAATTATTAGAATACTCATTCATATTAACTTAATTTTTTTCCAATTTTAATAAGAATAAATTTGTGCTGCTGATAAGGTAAGTGGGAAGATATTTTCCAGAGATGTTTCTGTGAGACCCTTGATGTATTACTGCCCAAAACATCAAAGACTTAAGAAGCAAAGGAAGTTTACTATGCCATTTTAATTTAGTTCATTATTTGCTCCAATGCAAAAACAATCTTTGAAAAGTTACTCTTTTAAAATATTGGAAAAACCGGAATGGATTTGGTGTCTGCTTGGTTCAATCTGGTTTCAATTAGTATGAAGCTAATACTGATCGTATACATTCAACCGGACCAGATCTATGCCCTTTCATTAATTTCCAGTTCTGATAGTCCGGTCTAGTCCGTTTTTTGGAACCCTGAGTAGAACACTACAACTCTTCTAGGTTATCCAACATACTTCTGTTTTATTTTCAGCGTGTTTCTTGAGTTGACTAAATTTATCACATACATATAAACCATTTGGGACTATTATGGAAACAAAACAAAATTTTTCAATTCGGAATCTGCCCCAATGCAAAAACAAGACACAAGACAATTTTTTGGGACAAACAGAAGTTTTTGAACCGCGATAATTATTTTTCTTTTGGTACATGTGAAATGCATGTACCAAACAATGGTACATGTGAAATGCATAAGCAGATACTTGAATCCCCCTAACAAAACCAGCCATAAAGAATTTAATACAGAGTATAATGGAATACCTTCATTAGCCACGGGTTGAACATGGTTTTCATCGTCAATCACTTCAAATGAAATGTTTCCTAGCCATAAAACTGCAGATATCATCTCAAAAGCGTGCATTCGATCTCTCTGACAAATCTTGAGTCTATTTAGTGCTTCCTGGTAGAGCATTAGCACCAATTCGTTGTACAATAGATCAGTGGATCTTTAAAAAGAAGCTAACACTATGTTTGGTTCAAGGAATTAGGAAGGAAAAAAAAGGAAATGGTTTTCTCTCATTTTCTCACAAAAATGAGAAGAATTTTGCTTCCCCTCATCTTTAGTTCATTTTGCCTTCTCATTTCTTCCCCTTTCCTTTTCTTTTCCTCTCTAACCAAATAAGAAAAATGGTTTTCCATCTCATTTTTTTTCTTTTCCCTTTCAAATTCCTTGAACCAAACATAGCGTAAATGATAAAGGATGTAACTATTTTAATCCAATAGATAACCATGAGAATTTTGAACTTATGAGCATCATCAACGCCACTTATAACGAAACAGCCACTTTGTTTAAGATAGTTGAACTCAGATGCATCTTTTAAATTTAACTTGTCTGCAAAAACATCAGAGCAGGTTACAACTTACAAATAAGCATAAACAACAACCCTGTAAAATCCTAAATCAGGTAGGATCTTGGGGTCAAGATATACGCAGCATTACCCCTGTGATTTCCATTTGCAGCAATGCTGCATTTACTACACAAAACATCATAGAAAGTAGGAAACAATGGAAGTTTTTTGCTCCATTTTGGTGTACTTGATTATTTACCCGAAGTTAACAACAACCTAGTATAATCTCAACTCCGTTGGGGTTTGGGGGCAAGATGTACGCATACTTACCCCTGTAAAAAAGAGAGGTTGTTTTTATTAGACCCTATTAATATGCCTTGAATCTGTATTGTGTTGCCGCTACGCAGATTAGTAAACAGGGGTCTACCCCCGCCCCGACGGTATGCTATGTTGTTGTATTGGGCTCTAGTCATTGTATTGGGCCTAGGGAACAAGAACTCTGTACTCTGGAACCTCTGTCATAATAAAATCCGCCTCCGTTCTTGCCCGTGGACGTAGCTAACACAACGTTGGTGAACCACGTTAAATCTGTGTGTCTTTACGCTTTCTGTTTACTTTGATTACTCAATTACTCTATTCCGTAATAACAGCTTCATAGAAAGTAAGAGGCAAGGGAAGTTTATTGTGACTTTTATATGAAGTCCATTATCTTCCCGAAACTAAAGTGTTGGACATGATTACTCTTTTAGCTCCATTGGCAATGGACATCATTTTAAGTAAGGATTAGGTATAAAAAGATTAATGCTTTTTGTTCATTTGAGAGTGAAACATCACAAAGATATCTTCATATGGCTTGTAAACTAATCCCTGACCCCCAACATCCAGCTAATGACTAACTTCAATGAAAATGGAAGAGAAGAACTAGTGGAACCTGGATACATACCAAACCTTTTCTTACCTGTCAAAGTAATTGAATGGAAACATCGTACCTCTTAGACCTGAAGGAGCCCCAGCACAAAGCTGGTAGAAGATATGGTATGACCTTTCTCCATGTGCCAGTTGAACCACTCTTGACTGCATTTAGAGATCAAGGAATTTTACTTTTTATAGGTTGAGTTTCCGCACAAAGATGGTAGAAATATATAGATTTAAATATATGAGGTAGAGAAGAGAGAAAAATATCCACCTTTTCAAGAAGAACTGCTCATTGTTTTGGGCATCAAGTTGTTTGGAATAGAAAAGATTATTTTTAAAAAAAAGGCGAGACCCATGATTAGGACCTGTATCTAAGAATGAAGTTTCTCATCCAACTTGTAGATATATGCATGCTTACAAGTATTTAGTTTGGCCCCACATATTTTTCCAGCTGCACTAAAATGAATTTCAGTCAATTTTCCCTACAAAACAATAGAAGCAAATGTCAAAATAGCTGAAAATGTGGAAATGAAAAACAAACATTCAAAAACCTCACTAGAATAGGCTCCTAATTCTCAGATGTCACTTACAAAACGACTGGAGTTGTCATTCCTGGATGTTTTTGCATTTCCAAATGCCTCTAATATACAGTTTGTCTGCATCACCTCATACTCTATCCCATTGCTTCCTCCACCAAGAGCAGCCAAGTATTGCATAGTAAATTTGGCTGTTTCTGTTTTTCCTGACCCACTTTCCCCACTTCAGGATAGAAAAGAAGTTAGCGCAGTTTCTAAAACACAAAATTAGAACTAAACTAACAATACTCATGAAAATCAGGAGATAATGGGGCCGGCATTGTAAGTAGTAGGCTGTGTTCCATTCAACTTATTTTTCAGCTTATAACTTATTCTTATTAAAATCAGATCAGACTAGATCAAATTACAAACAACTTTAAATAGACTAACTACAACCAGATCAGAAGATCAGATCAGGCGAACAAAACGCAACCTTGGTCAATCAGCCTCCACCTTAGATAAAGTAAAGCAAAGAAGACTTAACAAACCTGATGATGATAGACTGGTTCATCCCACCTACATGGTTTGTAAAAAAGAAGAAATAAGCAATGTGACATTTTCAGACAAAGTATAGTAGAAGATTGTGTTAGAATATAAGAAACATATCCTGGGCCACAACCATAAGCTTGAGCTTTTAGTTGAGTTGGTTTCTTGACATGGTATCAAAGCCCAGGAAATGTTTCTTATATTCTAACAGATTGATAAAATTGAATTTCGGCATTTGTAGCCACCTTCCATCATTTCATTATAGGCAGTGTCAGCAGTAGCATACACGTGAGGATTATCCACTAGCTTCTTCCTGTAAGCTGTAACATATGCATCCCCACACACTTGGACATCATTGAAAGGATTGATCGCTATTAAAACTGGACCAGCTTTAGTCTGTGAACAGGGAGAGCATACATGATAAGAGAATCAAAAGAAGTGAGGAATCTACAAAGAATATGCATTACATACATATATTTCTTGACGAGAGTATCTGGTTTGCAAGTTGTGAAGAACTGATGGCTCATTAAGATGATTGAGTTGAATGAGATCATCAACTCCCTCAAGATTGTCCGGATTTGCTGGTAAGAGGTCTGGTTTGGGAACTGTCACACTCTACAACATCAAAGAAGTCTAACAAAAATATTTGAAAGATATATGCCACAAAAATTGGACAGTTTAGAATAAGAAGTAAGCAGGATAGATGAACTCACACTTTCATCTGAAAGAATTACAACATATTTCCCTCCTGAATTTGATTGTATCTGCCCTAATTCCCACTTCCCATTTTGTAGGTGACACCAAATACGAAGTTTCTGAAAACAAATGCTACAAGTTTTAATATTCAGATCCCAATTGATTGTGTGTTTCAGCGTGATAAATTTTTTAATGACGAGTTACATGTTTAGGAATATCGTATCATATCAGCCAGAAAATTCTGAGTTAGCACATTACTCTAGCCCAGAGAAAATTTGAACATCAGTTAAAGAAGTTATTGAAGATATGGGTCCATGGGTATATCAGTGTATGTGATCAAGAGAGTTTTTTTAAACCATAAAAGAAACATACAACAACAACAGCACATTGAGATGACTCTTTTACAAAGTAAACATTCATACTTTGTGGAAACCTTAGTTGAAACAGATTCCTATTTTTTTATCGCAACTAACGTCACACATTGATTTTAATCACTTTCAACAATCCAAATAGGAAATATGATTCTGGGTTGCGTGTAGTTGACTATCAAAGCTTCTTTTCAGAAGTTATACTTCTTCAAAGGTGCACATTCCTCAAACAAAATGCAACAAAGAAAGTTTCGGTGAGAAGAAGAAGAATAGACTATCAATTCATGCTTATAAATAGTAAACACTAGTTCGATCATGTGAATAATGAATATGAAGTTTAATTAAGGACAGAGAGTAACAAGTTATAAGATGCCCCTTTCGAAAATTCCAACTTGTAGTGCAATTTGCACGACAAGTTTGAGAAAGTAGTAATGAGTATGATGAAAAATAAATTCAAAGGTATCACCAATTTTGATTTCTCAATCAAGAAGAAGAAAGATGAAGAAACAAAAGAAAGACCAACATAGGGTAAAAACATCCTAAATCTTCTCTTTTTCACCTTTTTGAAGAAATAACCAACACTCTCATCTGAATCCGTCTCGGGGAAGATGGGAAAGGAGTCCTTAGATGAAACTGCGTACTTTGGTTCATCCTGCATTCGTTCTGACGTCCGTTTCGAATCTTTCCTTTGTGGAGACATGAGGCTAGGCGATTCGTCCGGCTTCTTTTCCTTCATTTCATCAAAACTATTCCCTCTCACCCTTTTAACCTCTTCTTTTTTAAAGAAATCATTACCTCTTGGGGAGATTATTGGCAATGGTTTTCTGACGGATGGCGGCCTAGTTTTGGCCTTCACCCTCGGCCTGGCTGGCAGCTCAGGTGGTAAGTCTCTCGGCTTCTCATTCCCCTGCCTTTGCCTGAGAGACTCCAGCATTTCTTCCAACGAGCTCCTACCATCAAAGGAAGGCGAAATGGGCAGCATTTTCCCCCAATAGTTTGGCAAATCCCCCAATGTATCTACCTAAATATAAATAAATCCCAGATTTATTAATATAATCTTCTTCTTCTTCTTCTTTTGGGTGTAAATGAACGCCAGATTTCTTTAATCAAATAGGAAGGGTGTCGTTGTAGAAACTGTTCCAGAAATTTGTTTTGGGATAAGAATTCTGAGAAACGGCCGCCGGTTGCGATTTCAGGCCAGAATTTCTTCGGCCAATGCATAAAAACACTATGAAATCGGCAGCCCACGAGGGTTGATGCCGTTCCACAAAACCCCTCCAAATCTTACAATTCTACAGAAATTCAATTTTTACAAGATGGTGTCAGATGTATGAGAGGCGACTCCGAACAATTGCGACCAAAAAAATTGCGGGAAAGAAACTATCTTGGAAAAACAGTTAGCGTCCCATTACTATTTACAAACTTAGTATTTAAAACTTAAATTCTTATTTTTAATTTATTTTAGACTATTTAATTTTTTATTGAAGTTCACAAATAGTAAGTTTGTGATCGTTACATTTGTAAACCAAGCATTTCTCTACTCATTATTTGTCCAATTACAACATTAATAAAATGAAATTTTAAATGATTTCAATAACACAATCTACTTAAATCACACAAGAATAGAATATGGGAAGGATGTGTACGCAGACCTAGCCCCTATTTAAGAGCATGAACAATGGTTCGGAAAAAAAGATTTCCATACGATGACGTGGAATATTACAACCAATTAAAAACAGTCTAGTCACTGTGTGGCAAGTGAGTGAATGACAAACTCTGTAGTTGCAAGTCATTACTTTTACCACTTTTAATTTTTTTTGAAATATTTTAATTATTAAAAATTATTTTACTTATCATAAAAATTTAAAAGGTAAAATTATAAACAGAAAGAAATTAGTTTCAGAAAAAAGAAAATAAAAGGAAAAAAATAAAAAACAAACTCAAGCATTGACACGCCAATGCCACGATTTGAAGAGTGGAATGCTTTGTCATTCCATGCCCATCATGGCAATTAATGAGGATGCAGCATATGTGGCAACCGTGGCAAAACTTTCTCACGCTTTTGTTGATGCTCTAAAAGTACGTAGAGAGACCATTTCCAAGAAGTTTTTAAATATTTACGGTTTTTATTTAATTCAAGTTCAAAATTCATCTTATTTAAATAAAAAAGTCATACTGAATAAAGCTATTGAGACAAATGGAGTATATATAATGAACAAAATGTTAAAATGTATTGAAAAACTAGAATTTGATATCAAAGTTCACCCTCGTATTTCATAGAAATGCATGGTCATTAACTGTCTACGCAACCCAGGTAATGATTCCATATAGAAATTTGTGACACCGTTATACACACCATAGTCAAATGGTGTGGCAAAAGACAAAAATCACACTTAGAGATAAATGGTCACAATAAATATTTTCCATAAGTTACAACGGTTCGCACAAATTGCAGAAATTACCATTTATTTTTAACCTCAAAAAGCATTCAAATGTTTGGGTACTACATTTCAAATATTTCCCAAAATGTTGTGTTGTTTATCAACTAACATATCCATTCAAAAATTTAGGCACGGGGTGACACACTCGTTCTAGAATACTTTCGTCTTGTCTAATTGAAGTACTTTGATATACCTCAAAATAACTTTGATTTGAAGGCGTTTATACGTGATTCACTAAGTCTATCAAGTCGTTCTTAACGTTCTTCGTATACTGATTCTCCAATGCTGCTTCGCAGCGTTAATGTCCTACCAAAACTTCAACAATATTTTTCTATTTAATATAATATTGTAGTTTCGTTTAGATCAATGGAATGTTATCGTGTTAATTAAATGTTTATACATTATATTATTTTATGTATTTTAAAATTAGTTTTTTACTATTAGTTTAATTTAAAGATTTAAAAATAATTGTAGTAATTAGTTGGCAAATAGGCATATGTAGGGGAGGACCTACACTTGTGCAAGTGCATCAAGTGACTCCACTTATTTTCGGAGTAAATACTACTCCGTAATTATATATAATGTATGGCAAAGTAGATGATATTGGAGTTATACTTGGGGAACCCTACTTGGTGTACACCAAAGCAAAGATAGGCATACACGGACACTCAAAGTCTATGCATGCATAGACATTGAGTGTCTACGGGTGCCTTTCTTTTGTTGTGTACACTTAATGTACACCAAGTAGGTTCTCCTAGAGGAAAAAAACTAAAATAACAGGATCTTGGCCTAGAGATTTAACATCATCCTGGCGTAGAGATTTAACATCATCATGTCCTTCCTTTCGTCCCAAAAGCTCTTATTTCTCTTCACTTTGGACCAAGGACTTCTGATATTTACTTGGACACTCAAAAGCATGATGACCAATCTTTTGTGAGTGGAAGCAATGGGGTTTCTTGGGGATGGTTGAGCTGGATTTTTCTGGGATTGTGACCATGTCATTTAGAGAAGAGGCTATGGTTATGGGAGGACTTTGAACTGTGAGGATGGGGGAGGCTTTTAGAGTGCTTTGGACAGTGTTTTCAAAGGGTAAAGAAATGGATTTAGATGAATTTTCAAGTGGGTGTGTAGGGGTAGGCGTGGGACTGGTTAGGACCGTTTGTGGAGGAGTTATATGCATGGTGGTAGGAGAGTTTAGAGGCTGGGGCATGGAGGGGGTGTTAGGATTTGTTTGGGTAGCGGCTTGGGATGAAATATAGATGGGGTTTGAAGGGTTTTGGGTCAGAGGTGTGGAGACGGTGCTGGGTGAATAGGGGCAGTGACTAAGGAAGGTAACGAGGTGGCTTGAGCTGGATTTTTGCATAGACGATAATGAGTTGGGTGAGAGATATTCTGAACGCCAGGGGTGCTAGATGAAGGGGGGAATTTAGAGGTGATTAAGGTTGGGGGAGAGAGGGTGGTGTGGAGTGGCTTTCGTTGTGGAGAAGGTGGTACGACTTGAGAAAGAGTTTTGGGTGAAAAAGGGAGAGTAGTTTTAGATACCTGGTGTATATGATCATTGGAACAAAATCTATTAACTTAGAGTTTTCTAAACTTTCCCCAAGTTCTCACCTTAGCCTTGCCTTGGAGCTTTCGTTTTGAAACAACGCAAGCCCACCATGTAGAGGCATGTCTTTGAAACTTTGCCACCACTAGCTTGACCTTCTTGTCTTTGGGTACGTCTTTGAGCGTAAAGACGTCTTCAACTTTTGCTAACCACTTTGAGAACTTCTCTGGGTCATTTCTTCCTTCAAACGTGGGAATCTCTACTGAATTAGTGAGCTCCTTGACTTGTTTCATCATAAGCTCAACTTCCTTCTTTAACTTTTCTTGGGCAGCAACTACATTATATTGAGACATATCTTGGATGATGAGAAATGTTTCAAAAGAGAAAATGTAGGAGATGGTGTTTTCGCCCCTTAAGGGATGTGGAACAACAAGCTCTGATACCAAATGTTATACCCGAGATCCGGGGTATAAACGAGTTGTTATTTTGAGAAGGAATTAAGGGATGATGTAGCTTTGGGTTCAAAGTTCAGGAGCTGGTGATAATCTATTATGGCTAGGTGATAATCGATTGTGGAGCTATGCGGCTAAAACCCAGAAACTTCAGGGAAAGCGGATAGTCGATTATCAGTATATGATAATCGATTATTGGGGCTCGCAGCTTATTCCAAGGGAATTCAGGAGGGGAAGATAATCGATTATCTTTGTTGATAGTTGATTATAACGGTTGATAGTCGATTATAACGGCAGTCAGGATCCAAAATCAGGGTGGAAAGATAGTGGTGCTTGTGTGGGAATGGCTGGGATTTGTGGAAATGATGAGGGAGTTCTTTTGAGTATTTTTATGGAAGAAAAGAGTAAGATTAAGAGGAGAAATGGGGAGGTATGAAATGAGAGAAAACCAGAGATGGATAAACCAAGTTGGTGTTTAAGAGATATTACACACTCTAATCCTAACTTGGGGTTTGAATCTAGAATTTAATTAAGATATGACACACTTAATCAAATATCTAGAACCTAAAATCACACTTAAGATAACCACTCTTAAGATATAGAATTAGGAATTTGGCTAAAATAGCATCACACTATTGTATAAATACTCAAAGAGTAAAAGGGAGTTTTAATATTCAAAGTTGTGTTACAATGGCCATATGGCCTGAGTTATATAGGGAGAGGTGAAAGGAGAAAATACATAATACATTGAATGTGAACATGAGGAAGCTTCCTAGCAACATCCACCTCCAAAACATGGGGTAATCTTTCTTCAATCCTCTCTCCTTGGTGGACTAAAATCAAAGATGGGGCTGGGGTTTGTCGGGATTTTGAGCTTTGGTTTGTAGTGGTTGTTTCCTGGGTTTTAAGGCTATTATTTGGGTAAATATGAGGGGTTGTGTTTGCTAAGAAAAGGGGGCAGAGATGGGGGATATAATGGATGATTTTGGAGTTATAGGTTTGGGTTATTTGTGAGGGAACATGGGCAAGAATGAGTGGCTAGTGGTGGGTCAGGGTTTTGGCTCTTTGTGGGTGTTTATGTTGAGATTGTGAAGTTATTTTGGCCAGGGGATGAATGGAATAGAGGGAGAGTTTTATTTGTTGAATAAAAGGCTTAAAAGAAGGAAAATAACAACAAACAAAAGATTTTATTTTACACACCCTTATTTTTGCCCATGGGCTAAAATAATTGTAGGAAAACTTTATTTTGAAAGGAATTAAATGGAAAGGAGTTTTGGATGTTTAGGGTGGAGTTTGGCGAAGTGTGAGTTGGTTGGCAGAACCCTTAGGTCCGAAGTTATTTTGGCCTCTCGGGTTGAAGGACTTGGAATTCTCATTAAAATGGATCATAATGTTTGATCGTAAGTCCTTTGGTTTTTGCAAGGGTGTGGGACATGGGGGAGGGTATGATAGGGCCAAGCCCGGATATAACACCTCCCAACCAAACGCAACCTTAAAGAAAATACTTGGGGAACCCTACTTGGTGTACACCAAGGCAAAGATAGGCATACACGGACACTCAAAGTCTATGCATGCATAGACATTGAGTGTCTACGTGTGCCTATCTTTTTTTGTGTACACTTAATGTACACCAAGTGGGTTTCCCTAGAGGAAAAAAACTAAAATAACAGTAAAACAATACAAATATATCAAGATAGAAGCTCTAAGTTTTTATTTCCGAAACCTTACCAAAAAGTATTGTAAAATATCTATATACAGTGATAAATTACTACACTGCAAACTCTTACTCCCTCCGTCCTAAAATTAACTTCCCAGTTTGACTTTTGCAGTCAAACTTTTTAAACTTTGACCGTATATTAAGGAAAAAATGCATTGAATTTTCATATAAATTTATTACCAATAGATTCATTTTGGAATATAGTTTTGAAATATATAATTTTTATAAAATATATTTATATAAAAATCGAGATATTGATTGTCAAAGTGTCGCATTGGAGACCGTGAAAAGTCAAAAGAGAAATTAATTTTAGGACGGAGGGAGTATTTTGCAAATAAAAACATGAAGATCATATTTAGGTACTTTCTTTGCTTTACTCTTATTAGGGTGATTTCTTTTCCCTAGCACTCCTCAAAACTGAAGGGCACATATTGGATATTAGACATGATAAATAATTATGGAGCAATAAGAAATCCAATAATCGGATCTAATGAAATAGACATGTGAGGTGGGATGAGGGACCTGTTAGCCACCATAATAGTAAGCCTTAATAAAGGCTAATTGTGGTTGAATTTGAAAGGGGAGCTCAATTGAAATGCACAAATTCATGTACACGATCACTGCTATAGTCTAATTTCCAGTGAATTAAAATCTATCACACTCTACTCAGACAATCGAGGCCATAACCTAACATTAGCATTTTGGATAATTTTACTTTAGGCCTTCTTTAGGAACATCATTTCTAATTAACGATAGCATTTTGGATAATTTTCCAATGCTATAGATTAACTTTGAAATCAATAAAGCTAAGTGTTGCCATTGATCACCTTTCCAAAATGCTAAAAGCTAAATACTGAAGTTATTGCATGATGGGCAATAGCTTGATGAAATGAAACTTTGCTAGACAACAACACTAACAGGTAAAAAAAGAAGAAGAAAAGGATACACTTCAAAGGAATATTCTGCGTTCAATTGCATCAGTAGCTTTACTAATGAAAGCATCAAGCGGCATGGTTCCCAATTCACCACCAAATCTGGATCTAACGGTCACAGTTTCGGTTTCTACTTCTTTCGGGCCAATCACAGCCATCAATGGGATCTTCTGCTTCTCTGCATTTCTTATCAGTTTTGACAAACGCTCACCGCTGCAAACCTCAGCACGGATGCCACTTGCCTTTAGTCTCTTCGCCACCTCATTGCAAAACTCAAGCTGCAAGAAAATATGTGTTCAAAGTAACAATTGATCTTACAATATGGTTCTATAACTTCTATTAATTATAGAAAATCTAAATGTGAAATCATTGTTTTGTATTTAAATACTCCCAAATGGAGATACGGAGTAGATTATTAGTAGAACAAAAATTGATCCTTTACTCCCCTTGAAAATGCTCAGACCAATTGCGCCCCAAGTTAAGACAAATCTTGAGTGACGCAATCAAAATCCCAAATTTATAATTTATTTGTATACTGATAGAAAATGCAAACATGGCCAATAAGGAACAATATATATATATATATATATATATATATATATATATATATATATATATATATATATATATATATATGTATGTATGTATGTATGTATGTATGTATGTATGTATACCTGTGTGCCACTGACGGGTAAAAGCCGAGTTTGGATTGGAGAGAGCCATAAAGGAAAATCACCAGCATAATGCTCTATGAGAACACCAAAAAAGCGCTCTAGAGATCCAAGAATTGCCCTGTGGATTAAGATTGGACGCCTCTTCTTTTGGGCTGAGTCAACATATGTCATGTCAAACCGCTCCGGTAAATTAAAATCCACCTATACACAAACAAGATACCTCATCAGGAATGCTCTTTTTCAAACTTTGTTTTCCTGATGATATTCAATCACTTCGTATAATGGAAACAGTAAACAAATTGCCTGTATGGTTGAGCATTGCCACTTTCTTCCGAGAGCATCCTCAATTTTAAGATCAATCTTAGGACCATAAAAGGCCCCACCTCCCTCATCTATCTGATAGTTCCACCGTTTGTCGTTCAAAGCATCCTGAAGTGCAGAAGTTGCTTTTTCCCATCTATCATCATTTCCCACAGCTTTCTCAGGCCTTGTTGAAAGGTTGACCTCATAATTCCCAAAACCAAACC